CACCCACCACCACCCCGGATATTCTTTAAGGTGAAACAAGCCAAGCAATTTTGAGCGCGCTTCCTCTCTCCAAAGCACTGCAAAAAAAGAGATCTTGGGTGTTTCTCCAAAGCGAGATTCACTCCATTCTTGGTTGTGTACAAGAAAGGGCTTGCTGGGTACCTGAAAGGGGGGTGGGTGGGTGGGTGGGGGGCGGGGAAAACCTAACGCGAAGAAGCTTTTCCCACACTCCCATCTCTCTGCCAAAAAAATGATTGAGTTGATTTCTATCATTTTCCTGACTTGACGTGGTCCTTTAAAAAAAAAAAAGAAGGAAAAGCAAAAGAAGAGAAGAGCCATTTCTGGTTGCCTGCATCACATACCCTTCCCCCAAATTCACTTCTGCTTGGAATTGGGGGTGGGTGGGTGGGTGGGGGGGAAGCACCTACCCAACAAGAAGATCACACGCACACGCTCCGTGTACACACACACACACACACACACACACACACCCTCGCGCGCGCACACAAATTGGATACACTTTGAATAAGCTTTTGGTTCCTTATCCGGGGACTAGCGCGGCTGGCGTGATTGGCGCAACGAGTCACATGGTGAAAGTAACTTTACGGGGTCGCCAGCTAGTAGGAGGGTTTTATGGAGCAGAAAAACGACAAAGCGAGAAAAATTATTTTCCACTCCAGAAATTAATGATCATGAGCTCGTATTTGATGGACTCTAACTACATCGATCCGAAATTTCCTCCATGCGAAGAATATTCGCAAAATAATTACATCCCAGACCACAGTCCGGAATATTACAGTCGGACTAGGGAGTCCAGTTTCCAGCATCATCACCAGGAATTGTACCCTCCACCTCCACCACCACCACCACCACCACCTCCTCCTCCTCCTCCTCCACAGCGACCCAGCTACCCCGAGCGCCAGTACAGCTGTGCCAGCCTCCAAGGTCCCGGCAACCCCTCCGCGCATCCACGGGGCCATGGACAGCCGCCCGGAGGCCACCATCTCCCCGAGAAAGCGCAGCAGCTCTGTGACCAAACGGCTCTCTCCAGCGCGGCTACCTCTCCTTCCCCAGCCCCTCCAGCTTGCAACCAGCAAAACCCCGAGCATCCCAGCAGCGCGGCCTCTAAGCAGCCCATAGTCTACCCATGGATGAAAAAAATCCACGTCAGTACTGGTAGGCAACTTTTCCTCCTCTGCTCCTTTTCTCTCAGATGTGTGTGTAGATTCGTGCGTGCGTGTGTGTGTGTGTGTGTGTGTGTTTGCGCCCCCCCCCCTTCCCACCAAGCTCTCAGGCTCCCTCTCCCTCCCTCCCTCCCTCTCTCTCTCCCCTTTCCCCCCGTCTCCTCCTTTGCCTTCGACGAGAGTCTTTGGGTTAGCACAATTGAGCTGGATTTACGACTCCGAGCGGGTAATTACACCCACCATAAATTTTATAGCCGAGCTAGTCTGGGCAGCCCCAGCCATGTGGTTCGTTCTGTTATGTATGTGTGAAACTCCAAAGGCTTGGAGAGGGGTGCATAAATAATTCAGGCTCTTCCCAAGCCAAGGAAACCCCTTCTTCTTAGGAGCAAAAAAAAAAAAAAAAAAGTCTTGGGTTCTTTATAACCCAGTAGGCGGGTGGCTTTCTCTCCCCCCCCCCACCCTTTCCTTTCCTTTCCTTTCCTTTCCTTTCCTCTTTCTCCCTCTTTCGACCTCGCTCTCCCTCTCTCTTNCCCCCGCTTCCTTGCATCCATGCGAATCTTTGGTTTGGTTTGGCTTGTTTGTTTGTTTTCTCCAGTGAATCCTAATTACAATGGAGGCGAGCCTAAGCGGTCCCGGACTGCCTACACCCGTCAGCAGGTCTTGGAATTAGAAAAAGAGTTCCACTATAACAGATACCTGACGAGGCGGAGGCGCATCGAGATTGCCCATTCCTTGTGTCTCTCGGAGAGACAGATCAAGATCTGGTTTCAGAACCGGCGGATGAAATGGAAAAAAGACCACCGACTGCCCAATACCAAAGTGAGATCCACGGCTCCGACCAATTCCTCGGCCGGCTCCTTGCCCGCTTCTTCCAACGCGGTTGCTGGCGAAGACCATTCGCAGAGCTCAGCTCAGGAGCCACGAGCAGAGGATATTACAAGGTTATAAAACAAACCAACCAACAACAGAAAACGCCCCATGCAAATTGACTCTGATTATTTATAGAATCTAATATATATCTATATATTTTGGGGTTTTTTTTTTTCCTCGTAGTTTTCTCGTGCGTCTGTATATATATATTTAGGAGAGAGAGAGAGAGAGAGAGAGAAAGACAGAGAGAGAGAGAAAACACATACATACACATACACAAAAGAATGAGTTCTATTGGAGACCTCAAGCTTTAGGTGCATGTATTATTAGCATGAGAGGCCAGGTGGCATACCTGTTGGGGGGTTTTTTAATCACCATTTTCAGGGTTTTATTTATTTTTTAAAAAAGGAAAGAGAATGGAAGGATGGGCTGTGTATCAGGATGTGTCTGCATGGGGATGTATGTATGTATATAAGCGTGCGTGTTTGGGTTGGGGAACTAAATGTTCTGTTTTAGATGAAAAATCGGGGCATATGCTAATAATTATACAGGCAAGGAAAGAATGTAATTATTTTGCTCTCTGGGTTTACACATGGAGAACAAAAAAGAGGACCATTGAAGGCTTCCCTCCCCCTCCTCCTTTTCTTTCTTCTTGTATAAATGTGGAGAAAGATTTTTTTTTTTTTTTACAAAAAGGGGGGATGGCACACGCGAGCTAGTAGAAACTAATAAATGTCTGGTTAGTTCAATGTGAGCAGCAAGAGATAAGGAGAGCAAGCTAACAGCCAGTTGAAGGAAAAAATCAGTGGGTAGATTTTTTATTTTTATTTTTGGCTTTTCGTCCTTGTGGTTCTTGTGTTTTTGGACTAATTTTACATGATCATTGTAAACCTGCAATAAATGAGTTTAAGTGTATATGTGAAAGTCCCCTTGTTCAATAAAACAAAACAAAACAAAACAAAACAGTGAGTGTGACACAGACTGACTCTGGGATGTTTGGTGAGTTATTTTGCTTCTTTGCCTCCTGCTAAAAATAAAATGCTGGGAGAATAAGCATGGGCAGAATTACCTGAGTAATGACTCTTTCTCAGCTAAGTTTGAAGAACTTTCCTTAGTTAGGTGTGGGGTGGTGTTTTTTTTTTTTTTAAAGTCGTCTAGTGCCATGGAAGCTAATTGTCAATCTGCCATTGATTTTAGGAATTGTGTCTTGCACCCTTTCTACTCTGTGACATCACAAGATGGGCACTTGCCTTTGAACTCACACTACCAGGCAATCTTTGCCCTGGAGGTTTACAGGTGTGTTTGATTAGAGATAGATTCAGCTGATTCAGGATGTGTTTGTGCATTACTTTTTAAAAAAAAAATATGTGTTTTTAAATTTTTTATAGGTACAGGAGCCTCTTTCCCTTTGTTTAATAATGTTATCAAGTTAATTGTTTTCTTTTGCTGTCTGTAAACAACTTTAGCTGAAATTTACCCCTGTTATTGTACTTTAAATAAGTTTCTAGCATATATTGGAAATACTAGAAGAAAGAGTAGTACTGTAGAGAATCTGGAGATGTTTACTTTCTGAGGGGAAGCAGAAAGGGTGACTGGGAAAAATGTAGCACAGATGTGTTTGCACAAGGAATACTTCTACTCTGATTGGAGATAGATAGATAGCTAGATAGATACTTTAGCAAGTGCCTTTTTAGTACGCTGATTAGCCTATTGATCAGCAGGCCTGAAAAAATAACTAGGCGATCAAATTATGCTTTTCAACTCTTGTTTTAGATGATACTTTGTTTGCATTGGGTAAATTTTTAACAACTTGAAAGCAGAAATTAATTACATTGCAAGAGCAGAAGAATCTATTTATTTGTATATATTATTGTTATCTTTAAATGGTGTGCAAAATTGTGGATTGTCTATAGCACTGATAGTGAAATAAGACAATATATATATATTTCAGATGAAGTAGGAATTTGAAAGACTAGGGAAAAGGTTTTTTTTTAAAGGGCATATTACTATAACCTTCTGATGATAATTAGGTAAATCAGTTTTGCATCCGAGGCCTACAGAACACCCAGGAAATGACTGACAGGCATATTCAGATTATTCAGCCATTCCATTCAGGTTAATGTAGAACTTTTGTGGTTTTTAAATGGGGCATAATTAAACCTAACAGTAATCATCCAGATTCATTTACAAACCACTTCACAAAGAAACTTGAGGTCCAGCTCAAGAGGATGACAGTTCAGCCTGTTACTTGTTCAATCCATCTGATGTATGTTGAGGAGATGATTGACAGAGCAGCCAGGCAAAAACCTATGACATTATTTTTACCATTCCCAGTAAGGAATACAGACTTATGTGTTGAGTGTATGGGAAATATAAATTAAAATGTTTCCTTATAACACTGTTTGTCCACCTTATTTGATAGATCAAGAGGGGAAATAGGTAAGCATTCAGACTGCAGCCTTGTGCAGACTAACTTTTGAGGAAATGCCATTGAACACAGCTGAGATTTACTGTGTGTGCATAAGACCTCAGCTACACATTTAATACATCCCAATTAAAAAAGGAAAACATTGTTCAAATATACTATTTTTGGTCTGTTGCTGCAAGAAGACAAGCACAATCAGTTTTTCTCAAAGGTTTTACAAACACAAACACACACTTTTTATACATAGGCCTTCTGTGAAATAAGGGGTACAAATAAAGTGATTGAAAAAAATCCAAAGTTCTAAATAGTTTTTCATGGTAAAAATGGAAAGGTCGTCATTTGCAAAAACTCTGACACTCTCACCCACCCCGTTGATATTCCACACTTAAATTAAGCGTTCTGACTCTATGGATGCGCCTGCCTGTATCGCACTGGGTTGTTTTAACATGCCTCTTTCTCACACACATACACACTTTGATACATTGTGACCAGGATCAGTTTCTGAATGTGGAGGGACTTTGTATTGGGGGCATTCTCTGTGTCTGCCTAGGAAGCCAGGGAGGGAAAAGGGGGGGGTCATCAATCACATTTACAACTCTATAGTCTGCATATTCATTTTTAAAAACCTTTTCAGTAAACCTCTTACTTAAATATATGGCTGAATAATATCCATAGTGCTCTATATCCCCCCTCAACCAGCCTCTCCTGCATTGTTTTATTTATTTTCCTCCTGAAGTTCACTTCACTGTTTATCTCCTGCAATCTGCCCTTCTGTAATCAGATTCTTTTGTTTTTAATATTATTGTTAATCCTCTAATTTAGCCTTTAGACTTGGGCATGACATAATTTTTCCAGGGAACATAGGTTGTGGTTAAAGGCAAGCCGAGAAGTGTGAGGGGAGAGGGGGGGAGAGGGAGGAAGAGAAAAGAAAAAGAAGAGAACATGAAGAGATACAAACCTCCTTCCCACCATCATCTTTCCCACCTCCCTCTTCCCTCTTTCTCTCTTCTTTCTCAGCTTTTTGAGGCGTCCATGTTGAGAGCCTGAAAGGTACTTCATTGAAGTTCGAGGGGGGAAAGGGGGAAAAAAGTGGGTTCACTGAGAGGACAACTTTTCTAGGCCAGCAGTTTTATTCTAGCGGCTCAGGCTGACCTCTGAGCCCCCAGTGACCTGAGTGAAGTCTCTCAACGTGTACCTTCTGTGCCCCTTAGACAAACTTAAAGGCATCGCCCGTTTCGGCTCTTTGTAAAGAAATTTTCCATCGTAATAGAGCCGGGTGGGTGGGGAGGCGCGCGGGGAGGGGGGGGTGGAGGAGAGGCAAACGGGGGAGAGTTGGGCTTCGGGCAGATTCAATGCGCTTTATCGCTTGGTGCTGTCACCAAAATAACTCCAGAGAAAAGCAGGCAGGGTGAAGTCTCGGCCAAGCCTTGCTGCTTGGTTTTTCCCCCCTCCTTCCCGTTCACTTGAAAAGTTTCCTAGCGGGCTACTACTCCAGACGAAAACAAAGTTTCCAACACGTCAAGTAAGTCGCTTTTATTTATTTTTTTTAAATTTTTTTTTTTTGGGGGGGGGAACTTCACAAAACGAGCAGCTTCATCTTTCACACGTATGTTTCATTGAGGAGAGAAAAGGGGGGGAGGGAGAGCAAAGAAAAATATACGTTTTTAAGGCCAAGAGGCAAAGCGGAGAAATCGGTTGCGTTGGTTAAGGTGCGCCAAGACGCTTTGGGGTTTCTGCTGCGTGCAGAGGCAGTTTCCTTCTTTGGACGAAGGCAGCCAGGACAGGGAAAAGCCGGTCTTCTAAGTTGGTCCAGACTTCCCGCTGGCAGGAGGGAGACCTTCCCGAACAATCCTGGCTGGAAGCCTCTGGCCATTGGCTGCCAATGAGGGAACCCTTGCAGGCCAGCGGTTCGCTTGATGGCTGTACTTTTGGGCCTCCAGCTCCGTTGTGTTGGCGAGGTTTTTCTTCCTACTGTGGCAGGATCTGCGTTTCACGCAAGCAAGCGTAGCCACTGCACCCAAGACTCTCCTTCCTGTCTCCTGGTAGGTAGGATCAGGTTGTTCAGTACTTTTCCCCTCCATTTCCTTTGCTTTCCTTGTTTGGGGGGGAGTGGATGGGGTGGAGTTAAAAAGCAGGAGCCCTGTAGAAATATTTCAGAAGGAATGTCAGGAACTCGGGTGACTTGTTTCACAGCCTCTGAGTGCCCAAGCTCATGTGGCAAACCTTTTTTTCAGGACAGTTCCCTGCATTTGCTTGATAAGGTCTCCATAGGACACAGGAAGCTTGAGGGGGAAGCCAAATGGGGATCTCCCCCCCCCATCCTGGGAAAGCAGGCCATGGGAGACCCTACTTCTTTCCTTGGAGGTGGGCTTAAAGAAATTTCCTGCCCAGAAAGGAAGAGCCATCATGTTTGCTTGAGGGGTCTCCAAATTCCATCCCCTTCTGGTGCTGTTTAGGAAAAGAACTTTTTTTTTCCAAAAGGAGAGACTGAGAAGCTGAAGAGAGCTTGTCTGTTAAGAGAGAGAAAAAATGTAAGATAATACTCCCCCCCTTTTTTTTATCATCTTGATATACTAACATAGTTTAGCTTCTTAAGCAAAGAATGCCCCAGAAGTTTGAAAACTCCCCTCTACAGCTCCTGCTCTAGACCCTC